GCACGCCCGAGATGCACTTCTTCCTCTTCCGGGAGCACGTCCCAAGTCAGAATATCACACTCGCGGGGCGCACTTTCTTCGAGCGGGCACACAAAGGATGCACTTCCTCCTCCTCTTCCTCCTCCTCTTCCTCCTCTTCCTCCTCCTCCTCCTCCTTCTCTTCCTCCTCATCCTCCTCCTCCTCTTCCTGCTCCTCCTCCTTCTCCTCCTCCTCCTCCTCCTCCTCATCCTCCGCTGCCTCCCCCCACTCCTAGCCCTGTCGATCAGGGTCAGCGGCGCCGGCCGTCAGGCCTCCCCAGTAACAAAAGCGATGATCTTAGAATATAAGCCCGATGTGTCAAAACAAGACAGCCGCAGCCAGGCATGTTCTGTAACATTTCGAGCAACCCACAAAAAGGATCATAGAACACTGTCTAGTAGGCGTATAGGCGAGCCAAGATGCTTCGCCACTGCTTGAAAATCGTGAAACATATCAGACATTGGCCGGGGCAAGAAAAGAGCCAGGCGGTCTTTCTCGGTAGTGTCAGATGCTAGATGGCGAAAAACGGGACAGCGCACATAAATATCGCGAAATATCGCTGAGCACGTGGATGGCGCACGCAAGTTATCCACGTTAAGAGAAAATGAGTTGCGCAATAACTGTGACGTCAACACTAGTCATGCACAGAGAAGACTTGGAGCCAGCAGAGATGCGTCTCACCATTAAACGAGAGCAGACTCTCGCGCATGTGCACTCGAGTACTCGCATCTCGTGCTTTCAATGGGAATATGGTGGACCATGAATGCAAATGGCCGCGTGGTACGGCAAGCACGCTTTCGAGGACATCCAATACACGCAGACAGTCGCGTTTTGACGGCGCATTGGCAAGGTTTGGCTGAAATCACAAGGGATCCTGCGCGCACGAAAACGTGAAAGGATTGCGACCGATAAACGGCATATTGCCTCGGGGGGGTGCCGCTGTACCCTTTGTTTCAAGTTTCAACGCAGTGCGAGGGATAGCTGCGCAGCGCGTCAGGGGGCCGGGCGAACGGGAGAAGCGAGGAGAAGAGAGGGAGACGAGAGGGAGGCCAATCACACATTGTCACCATACATTTTGAAAATGCCGACTTCCACTCCGCAGCGTCGTAAAGTAGATGTTGAAGCGGATCAGAACTGCAGGCGACCAATCACACAAAAGGCGAATGCAAATACGATGTCCGCAACAAGCGAGGGCGTCCTTGAGACCGGGCGCCGTCCCAAGATCTTGATACATAAGTATTGGCAATGTCCACTCTGGAAATTCAAGATGGGGCTTCACAATACCTGCCAAAGGAAATGTCACACATGCTGAAACAACATAAACTGCGATGTAAGAAATGTCTGATTGAAACACTTGGACGAACATACAACGTGATTGTAACTAACGTCCTAGGGGGCCATCCGTCAACCCACGCCGAACATCGCTTGTCTGCCATATCCTGAGTCTGACAATTCAAAGGGTCCACAAGTAAAATGAAGAGCAACCGCGTGATCGTGAACTCGAACGCCCTGATAACAACGATGCATAGTGGGAGGGGGCACATCGACAAGATGCTCGCAATTGCCCGACAGCGACACTGGTCAGAACATTCAGACTATCATGAGTGGCACGAATACGGCCGTTGTCTTGTTAGGCGGGGCGAACAGGGCCATCCAGAAGGTGGGCCGTCGAAAGGGTGCATGGAACGGCTTTCGGGGAGGCGTTCCAAGATTTCTGGAACGCCTTTCCGCCCAGCGTTCGGAGCAGTTCGGTCGCCTCGGCCCACGGCCCGCTACCGCGTCGACATGGAGACACCTCGAAGCGGGATCAGGCCGCACGAGTGAAGCCAAATTGTCTGCGAGGGGCAGCCTTGGAAGTCTCGTCCTAGGTGTGCCCGTCGACCGCCGCGCCCTTTCTGTGGCGCCGAAGTGGCCACTTCGCCTGGTCTGCCCCGTGCACGCTCCCGTGCTGGCCCTCCCCCTGCCTCCGCCCACCGCGCAGCCCCTTGCCCCCTCCGCCGCCACCTCCCCTTTTCTCCCTTCACTCCCCTTTTCGCCCCGCGTCGTCGTCGTCGTCGTCGTCGTCGTCGTCGTCGCCCCGCGTCCCACACCAGTGTCGTTCAGCGCCTCACTGATGCTAGCCCGCTACTTACATCTGCCAACCGCGCCCATTTTCTCTCGCACTCTGCCTCCCTCATCCCTCCCCCCCCCCTCCCCCTCCCTTCCCCCAGCTCCCTTGTCCTATTTCGCCTTCCCCCGTCCCCTTCCCCTTCCCTCCCTCCATTTGCCCCTTTCTTCCAACCTCGTGCTCTCCCGCTCCCACCCCTCCCCATTCCCTCCGCCGCCAGCCCTTCCCGAACGCTGTTCCGGGAAGGCGCGCAGCCCTTCCCGAACGCTGTTCCGCGGAGGCCGAATGCAGGCCCCAAGTGGGCCATCCGTCCGGCTGATGCTCCGAGGCCCCAAGTGGGCCATCCACCCGGCTCCTGGAGGCCGCCCCCCCCGAGGCCCCAAGTGGGCCATCCATCCGGCTCATGCACGCCCCCGACCCTCGCACGCCCTGCGCGCAACCCCCTCGCCGCCCCCAGGCCCCAAGTGGGCCATCCACCCGGCTCATGGAACATCACACCGGGGCACCCAGTACCCCTGCACTGGTCCAGGGCCCCAAGTGGGCCATCCGTCCGGCTGATGCTCCGAGGCCCCAAGTGGGCCATCCACCCGGCTCATGGAACCCCTTCCCAGAGCTCCCTCGGAAAGGCGTTCCGCGCCTCGGGGGAAGGGTACTCGCGCGCCTGGCCGCCTTGGCTCCCGCGACCCAGGGCGCCCTTGCACCGATCCCAAACCACCCCGCCTCTCCCTCCCCTTCTCCTGCTCCCATGCCTCCCTCCATCCCTCCCTCCCGCCAGCATTCCTGCCCTCTCGCCCCGCACCTCGTCGTCCCTTTTCTCCCTTTTCGCCCCGCGTCGTCGTCGTCCTCCTCCTCCTCCTCCTCCTCCTCCTCACATGTCCTCATCCTTCCGCCCCCCCTCCTTCCTCCTCCATCATCCTCCGCAATCCTGCTCCCGCCCTCCTCCCTCATCGTCCTCCATGCTCATCCTTATGAACCTCCTTTTCCTCCTCCTCCCTCATTCATCCCATTATCACCTCTCCCTCCTCCTCCTTCTCCTCCTTCTCCTCCTCCTCCCCTCCTCCTCCCCCTTTTTTTGACAACCCAACGTCGAGGCGAGTGCACCGCGTCTAGAAGGGCAGCAGTACAGGTGTGGAGGACACTGAGAAAACATGAAGGGAGAAGAGATCGAAAGCCAGTGGGACCATTAAATACGCAAGAGAAGTGGAGACAGTCGAGAGGGCCCAGGGCTGTCTAGCTGGCAGGAGCTGATTCCAGCAAAGATGGTTGAGGGACGAGGTGAAAGTGGACGGCCGAGCCATCCGCAATCCCAGCTGTGATTTCTCGCACCACCGCGCTTCCATCCACCCGATGAACGGCCCACTTGTTCATCCACCCCCTGGATGGCCCAGTTCGCCCCCTCCAATCTTGGGCTCACAAAGGTTCAATGACCTTGAAATCCAGAATGGCTTGAGCAAAACTTGCGACGGACCCCCTTTGCGGCACACTCGTTCTAGTGGTCAACACATACCAAAATATCGGCCAGCACCTAGCCCCAGTAGATCACAAGACTGAAATGTAGTTGACTGGACTGGACTGACGTAGACTGGACCAGAGTGGTCTAGAATAGACTGGACGGGAGTGGACTCTATTCTACTCCACTCTACTGTGGTCTGACCTGCTCTATCATACCCGACTATTGCCTACCATCTACTCTACTCAATTCGACTCTACGCTGCTCTACGACTACCCTACTTTACTCTACCCTCCCATGCACCACTCTACAATCTGTACAGCACTACTCTACTCTAGTATGCTCAAGTCTTCTCCTACTCTACTCTACTCTGCTCTACTCTACTCTACCCTACCATGCTCTGCTCTGCTCTACTCTACTCTTCTCTATTCCTTCTCTACTTTACTCGACTCTACTCTCCTATCCTCAACCCTAGACAATCTACCCTTTTCCTACTTTGCTCGGATCTGCTTTCGTCTCCTCTGCTCTGTTCTGACCCGCCCTACCCCGCGTGTTCCCCTCCAGGCGCATTCTGGACGAAAGAGAAGTCCAAAAAACAAAACAATGCCCAACAGTAGCCAGAAATGGTCAAAAGCAATCCCCAGACTATTCTTCTGGACTATTTTTGGGAGTACGCCTCCCGTCGGGGAACAGGCCCGACGGAACTCGACCCTCCGCGGCCGTGCCGGCTCACGCCTGCCTTAGGGCGCCAGGCAGGCGAGGGTCGGGAGCGGCCAAGAGGGGGGTGTCCAAGAGGGGGGGGGTGCACATCGTGGCCGGCGGCATGTGCGCGGCCCAGCGGCGGGGCCGGGGACGTCATGAAGAAAGAAGAGGCGCCACGAGATCTGGGGAGATCTCATGGCCCCCGCCATGATACCCCCCTACACCCTGCGAAATGCTTAAGAAATCATGGGTTATGAAATTCAGAGTCTCAGAATTTGAATAGAAAGACCCAGAATTTCTCATAACATCTCAGGATTCGCATCGAAACATTAAGAATCCTCGAGGCCCTGGCCGAAAACTCAGGTTTCCTTACGCATCGCCTGGGGTGTAGTTCTCACCCCCCTCTCTGCCGCCCCCGATACCAGGCAGGCGAGGGGCGCGCCGCGCCAACCCTCCTCCGCCGGGGGCAGGGGCGGCACCCGCCCCGCTCGGGCGGGGCCAGCTGCCGCGGGCGCGGCGGGGGGCCGCGGAGGGCGCCCGCGCCCCGCCGCCGCTGCTGCGGCTGCCCTCTCCTGGGTGGCCACATGCGGACCCTGCCCCTGCCCCCCACGATTTTTGAGGGGGAGGGTGGGGTTCGCTTCGCTCGGGAGCTCTCGAACGAAGCGAACCCCACCCTCCCCTCGAAAATCGTGAGGGGCAGGGGTAGGGTTCGCATGTGGCCACCTATCTCCGCGCAGGCGCGGAGGTGCTCCGCGGCCCTGGGCCATATGACGAACCAACAACACACACCCATACAGTGAAAACGTCTAGTAAGGACGCGTGGTAAGGCAAGGACGCCAGACCCTTGGGGGCTGAGGTTGGGATTTCTCTGGGCGGCGGGCGAGCAGTGAAAACGGCAAAGGACGGGCCACAGAGGCAAGGACGCAAGGGCATCCTAGATGAAGGCGCGCGTCCTTACTAGGCGCGTTGACTGTACCCATAGGGGGATCGGAGAAGGCTATGGGTACGTGCTGTCGGATGGGGGTCCCCGCTCGAACGGGAGCGCTCCCCAGGGTCCGACGACACGCACCCATACCCATAGCCAGTCCTCCTCCCAACGACCCCCCATGGGTATGGGTGCGGGTTGTTCGTTCGTCAGGTTAGGTCGGGCAGATCCCCCTGCAGGCGGACGTTGAACGGGAATCGTCCCCCAAAAAGGATCCAACATGGTGCGAGCATAGTCCCCCGACTATCTCCTTTCCCCATGCTTCGATGCTCCCTTCTGGAGAGGGACGGGGGCCCGATTGCGGCCTGGGGGCGGAGGGCCCGGCGCTTGGAGGCGAGCTCGTTCGCGCCGAGGTCAGCACGCCCGGGAGCGTCCCACGAGGCCGTTCTCGGGAGCGGCCAAGAGAGAGGTGTCCAAGAGGGGGGGGGGTGCACATCATGGCGGGCGGCATGTGCGCGGCCCGGCGGCGGGGCCCGGGACGTAATGAAACAAGAATAGGCGCCACGAGATCTTGGGAAATACCATGGCCCCCGCCATGATATCCACCCCCCCCCAGTCCTCACCCCCCTCTTTGCCGCCCCCGACGTTCCCGGCGGAGCAGCAGGCGTCGGCGGGCCGCGCCGGGGAGCCGCCTCGCCCGTGGGGCGGCGCCGAAGCGACCGGCGCCGAGGCCTGCCGCGCGCGGCGCGGGCGCCGAGGCGGCGCCCAGCACGGCGCGCGGGCGCCGAGGCGGCGCGGCCGTGGCCCGCGGCGCCGCAGGAAGGCGTCCGAGGAGGAGGGCTGGGGGCAGGCGTCGCGCGCCCCAGCACCGGCCATTCCTGCCCTGGCGGGCTTCGACGGCGCCGACCTTGCAAGCTCCAGCAGAAGTCCGCCCGGCAGGAGTCGCTGGGCGAGGAGCTGCTGGAGATGGGGGCAGCAAACGAGCAGTGCAAGCAGTCCATGGAGCCAGAGGAGGCCGAGCTCGCGGAGTCCGTGGAGCTCCGGAGGCAGCTCAGCCTCGGAGACGAGGGGGTGCAAGCCATGGTAGTGGAGTTGAAGGGGTCCCTCGCCACGTCGGCCGCGGCGATCGAGGAGGCGCAGGGCGGTGCCCGTGCCGTCACGGCGGAGCGCGATGGCGTGGCC